ATCAAAATATTTCTCTCTTTCGAGATATAAAGCGTCAACGATTGAGCATTCTGGCCCCTTGTGGCCCCTAATTATGTACCATACGACATAAAAATCATAATATATAGTTGTAAATGGTTGAGATAAACATCTTTGCTTCATTCATGTATAACAAAATATTAACTGATAAGGAGTTATCGATTTCAGAGTTTTGGCCCCTCTTGGCCCCTAATTTGAGTGCCCAGCCCCTTTTTCTTGATTTCGTCTTAAAGCTCTTATAAATTTGAACACTTTTTGTTCAACAACTATTCAGAGATTCTTTTTCGTTTTCGAGTTATTTGCAAAAGAAATATTTAGGGGCCAACCCTTCAACTCCCTAATGGGGACTTTTAGCGAAATATGAAAGCTTGCATATTGTTCAGAACATGATTTTGAATATCTTTTGTTCAATATTACTTGTCAAAAAATTTCTCATTTTCGAGATATAAAGCGTCAAAGATTTAGCCTTCTGGCCCCTTTTGGCCCCTAATCATGTATTATACGACATGAAAATCATAATATATAGTTGTAAATGGTTGAGATAAACATTTTTGCTTCAGTATTGTATAACAAAATATTGACTGTTAAAGAGTTATCGAAAAAAGACTTTTAGCCCCAGTTGGCCACTAATTTGAGTGCCCAGCCCCTTTTCCTTGATTTCATCTTGAAGCTCTTAAGATTTTGAACACTTTTTGTTCAATAACTATTCAGAGATTCTTTTTTGTTTTTGAGTTATTTGCAAAAGAAATATTTAGGGGCCAACCCTTCAACTCCCTAATGGGGACTTTTAGCGAAATATGAAAGCTTGCATATTGTTCAGAACATAATTTTGAACATCTTTTGTTCAATATTACTTGTCAAAATATTTCTCACTTTCGAGATATAAAGCGTCAAAGATTTAGCATTCTGGCCCCCTTTGGCCCCTAATAATGTATTATATGACATGAAAATCATAATATATAGTTGTAAAATGTTGAGATAAACCTTTTTGCTTCAGTAATGTATAACAAAATATTGACTGTTAAAGAGTTATCGAAAAAAGACTTTTAGCCCTTTTTGGCCCCTAATGTGATGAGTCAGCACTTTTTTCTTGATATCATATTAAAGATCTTGTAATTTTGCACAAATTTTGTTCAAGATATTATAACAAAATATTTATATTTTAAAAGATATGATACAAAATGTCTCAAAAATTCATTCATGATTCGTGTCCCAAATTTTGACCCCTACCGAGCTTCCATACTAGGCACTTCCGGAAAATATCCTGACCCAGGTGCACAATGGCAACATGTCCTCTATCTTTGGTAAAAATTTCAGCGCTCTAGCTTAAACCGTTCTCGAGTTCTGCGGCAGACAAGAAAGCCCTCTAAATTTCGATTAAAGGGCGATAACTTCCGACCGGAAGTGAATTTCAAAAAAATGAGAAAAACGAATCAGGTTTAGGTGAAGACACATCTTTCCTGAAAATTTCAAGTAAATCGATCGAGCCATCTCCGAGAAATCGTCTGCACAAAAATTGTAAGAAAAAAAAGGAAGAATAATAAAAGTGAAAAAGAAACAATAGAATAATAGAAGGGTCTTCCGTTGGAGACGGAAGACCCTAATAAGAAAATTGAAAAAGAAACATAAGAATAATAGAAGGGTCTTCCGCTGAAGACGGAAGACCCTAATAAGAAACAGAGTAAAAACAATATGTTCCCCAACTTCGTTTGGGGAACATAATAAGAAAGAAGGGTTATGTTTAATAAAATAAATTAGACAATAATTGATACAGGGAGACTCTCTGTTAAATACATGAATGTACATGAACAAAATGCCTCTCTCTTGCCTTCTTTCGTACATTTATTTTTTTAAACCAGGAAAAGTAATGTGTGTTAAATATAAGTTCATAATTTTAAAGAAAATACTGAGTTATATACGACAAACGATACAATTGGTTTGACTATGGTGTCGGATATTATTTTAATAGTTTAAATTAGGTTGTAAAGGTGTACATGATAAGTTTTTGATATTCAGTAGCTGCAGATTGTTATATAAGTTCTTAAATTTTCGATTCTGGACATAGGATGCGAGTTTATTACTTCTTACATGTACATTGTATAACTTGGTACCGATATTTAATCACGGAACAAAATTACAATGTTAGCACACTACCGGGTATACTAATCATTTACGGGATTTGAATAAATTATTTTACAAATTAAGTTCATTGCTTTAAAATCTTGAATTATTTTTTCAACTTTACTAGTATCGAACCTGTAATATAAGTATGCATTGTGCAGCACAGAAGCCACTTATGAAGTTTACACGTGCCGGAGTTAACTATCGATGTTTAATCCATTTCATTGACTATAATTCTTTCCTTATGATTCGGAAGATTCTCTTTAAAAGTTTAAAATTGGTATAGACATGGTAAAAATCTGTGATGGAAAAAAAATGTTTAGGAAAATTTGTGTTGAAAACGGACTTATTTGTGTGTGAAAAGGGCAAAGCTTATGTATTTAAATCAATATTGGTTGAAGTAAAGTAACCACAGATCGCTATAGTCCTTACGCAATGAATCGTCAAAATAAAAAGTAAAATTACACATGGAGCTAACGAACATTTAAAAACTGAAGACTGATTAATATGATTAATGTACTGAGGGTTTTGTGCTGAAGTCAAACCTAAGACAATTTAATATAAGATTTTTTTAAAGATTCGATTTACTTAAAGAAAATAATATTTTCCCGTTAGTTTGTAAATTAGACACGTCTACCACCCGGCGAAATTAATGTCAACAAGCGATGGAAAGAATGGTTGGTCGCGTAATTGTAAACAAACACAAAACCTAGATAGCTGTTTTAGTAAAAATATGTATCACGTTCATAATTTAAAACAAAGTTAAGCCAACATATTAATCTCAAATATTCGACAATAAGAATTTTCCATTAATTGTCGTGTTGTAGAAAGGTTTTAATATATCAATTATTTTGCCTACGACTGCATGGTCAATGGTTCACCGCGGAGTGTCGCTTTAGATTTCTCGGCCGCGTGTAATCGACGGATAGATTACGTAATGGTAAACACGCTTAGAAACTGTGTTCCAGGTGAATGTGAGAATCGAGCAGTAAATAAGGGTGTATTATTTGACTCTTTAAAAAGTTTCTATGAGATCTGGGTGTATATTGTTTTCATTTAAATTGTTTGTGTTCATTTTAAACAAAGAAAAGATACTCGTACAACATATATCACTCTCTCTCTCTCTATTGGAAAGATCTTTATTAATGAAAAGAAAAATTTGCCATCGAATACTCTGTACGGGAACCAAAAACACGTTTAAAACCTAATCAAAAAAAAAATGATCAGCGTTGAAAAATATTTATTACTTATGGCATGTTTATTTCAGTTATACGCATAAAAAGTTCTCCTTCAATTGCAAAATGAGAACTGTGCCATGTTTACGGATCTACCTTTCTTTCTTACCATACGCAAGACTCGAACAAAATAATATTTTTATAGGATAGAAATGATATAAAGGAACAATTTATAATCAACAACCGTATCAAAATACTAACGGTTTTTGAGCTATAAAGCAAGAAATTTCAAGGCCCCTAGATCCCTAACTTTAGGGGCCAGCCCCTTTTCAATGATATCAAACGAAAGCTCTTGCAATTATGCACAACTTTTATTCAATATGTTATAACAAAATATTTTTAGTTTTCAAGATAAAAGGTAAAATATGTGTAATTTTTCGCTCTTTTATGCGTTCTAATTTTTGACCCCTATATAGCGCCATTTTGAATAAAGAAATCGAAAAACAAAAACTGGCATGCACAACTTCAATCCTTCTGTTATCTGAAATCAGTAGAATTTCTGCTCCAGCTTTTGTGGTCTTTGAGCCTTTATCTGGAAATGAAAGCCTATAAATTTTCATTTAAAGGGAAATAACTCAAAAGCGTGAGTACATTTTTGAAATATTAGACGGCATTCTGATAGAGTGTATCGATGTGTATAATGTCTGAAAATTTGAGCAAAATCCGTTGAGAAATGAGTGAAATATGAGGCCTCAAAGTTGGCGTCTAGGAAAAGGAAAAAAAAAAGAATAATAAGAACTAGAGCAAAGCTCATTGCAAAGCAACGAGTAGGTCTTCCGTCCTGTTTGACCGGAAGTAGCATTCATTTTTAACAAAAATGAGAAATAACGCCTAAAAATGGTTTGAATCCTCTAAAGCGATGTTAATTAATGGAAAAAGAAGCAATTTTTGCTACTTCCGGTTTAACCGGAAGTGATGACGACGGACGAAAAATTAATTTTTATGCTCTCAAAGACACATTTTACCAAAAAACTTGTCAAGAACGGCAAATATACGCGTTTTTGACTACTTCCGGTTTGGCCGGAAGTGACGACGCCGGACGTATTTTGACGACTTCAGTAGATTAAGCTTGACATTTTGAACAACTTTGCTTCTTTGACGTATTACAAATTCTGAATACTTTTTGAGATATCAAGTAAAAACTTTTGGCCCCACTAGATCCCTTATTTTAGGGGTCAGCCCTTTTTTTGAGATATCATTTGAAAGATCTTACAATTCTTCACAACTTTTGTTCTATATGTTTTAACAAAATATTTATAAGTAAAACGATATAATAGAAAAAGTGTTAGAAATTTTGAAATGCGTAATATGACTTTTTTCAGACCATACCGAGCGTTAATGTGCAGTACTTCCGGTGAAAGTTAACAACACAATGCAAATCTACATATGTTGCTCTGTCTTCCAGAAAAAGTTTCATCTTCCTGTGATGAGCGGTTTTTAAGAAGAGCGACGGACAAACTGACCCTTAAAAATCACAAAATTGCGAAAATCTACGAACCGGAAATGACGTCATCAAAATAAAAAAAAATGCATCAAGTTTTTTTCATGTTCTATTAGACCTGAAAGTTTCATAAAAATATAACCAGCCGTTTTTGAGAAATCGCGTGCACAAAATCGGGAAGAAAAAAATAAGAAGAACTAGAGCAAAGCTCGTTGCAAAGCAACGAGTGGGTCTTCCTTCTTAGCGATAAGCAGAAAGTGAAATGTTTCAATTGTCAACTTTGCTACCATTCTTTATTTCTTTGACTCAAATAGCAAAAACCTTTCCGGGTTAGAATAGGTCCTCAGTACCCTCTTGCTTGTCGTAAAAGGCGACTTAATGGGGCGGTTCTTCGGATGAGACCGTATAAACCGAGGCCCCGTGTCACAGCAGGTGTTGCACAATAAAGATCCCTCCCTGCTTAAAGGCCATTAGTGCCAAGCATAGGCCTAAATTTGCAGCCCTTCACCGGCAATGGTGACGTCTCCATATAAGTGAAATATTCTGGAGAGGGACGTTAAACAGTAAACAATCAATCAATCAATTATACTGTAAAAATACAAATATTTACACACATTTATAACCTTAACTATTAGAACTGGTATGTCTTCTCTTGGAAACGGAAGACCTCAAAACAGATGTTTACATGCAAGATCTGACACATACTTAAAAAGAATATTTATTCCAAACTAAAGATAGACTCTGTAACAAAATCTATTTCTCTTGAAAAACTGAAAGCAATTGATTTGTTCATATTTGTGGATTTATGTCTGTTTCTCAAATCAAAATTTAAATATGAATATTTAAAGTCAATATCATAAACTAAGACAGACTGATTCACATGAATGTTTCAATTTCATTATGCTGTTTATTCCTTGTCATCCCCCAACAGATGCTCTTCTGGCAAATCATGATCGTGCTTGGAATCAAATTTCAGTACTCTGATGACAGTCACACCTATCAAAAAGAAATTGAAATTTTTTATTGAATTTTTTTTTAAAAAGTGCAACTTATACACTGTTATAAGATAAGATAAACCATCAAACTGAGTTCAAAGATACTGTCACATTTTCCGGTAGTCTATAATTATTTAAAAATATAGGTTTACAGGCAGTCATTTGAGGATGTTATAAAATAACATATTAGTTCTTCATGATTTCAAATAAAGAAAATGTACATTACTTGTTCATATCAAAATTTGTTAGGAATGGTAATGGTTAACAGTTGTTAACCGACTAATTAGCCAAAAAGATGGTATCCAGTTATGATTTTTTTTATGTGTCAGGATAAGACCATTCGTAAAGGTGTTACAGCAATTAAGAACAATGCGCTAATGAAGTGACAAAACGCTATTGCATATGGAACAAAGAGCTAGCGCAAAGTAACAATGTGGCTCTAGCTCATTTATAACACCATGCTAGTAAGTTTATGACAACATTCTGGCCAGTTTAAGACACTTACAAGGCAGAATGAAGTAAAAATGTGCTACAACACTTATGACGATGGTCTAGTGTGTTTATGACAACACAATGACAATGTACTTGTGCATTGTAACAATGTTGCAGCAGGCTTTTACACCACACAGTCAAGATTACATGTAATAGATTGTGTAAAGCTGTGTTGGCATGGCAGCATATTTTGTGTCAGCACAACTGCATGTTATTTTAAGTTGCCTTAGCCTGACAGTGTTGTGAACACTGTGTTAGCACATTGTTCCTAAACATGCTGAAGCACTTTTACAATTAGCCTTATCTGGACACCATAATTTTCATAACCAACTAGCTATGTTTTTTTGTAAAAGTACATGTACCAATCATTTTTTTCATTTAGATTTCCATATGTTTTAAAAAGACAAGGAATAAAATTCAATTTTCTATAAGCTTCTATTCATTATAAGTGTTTGCCAAAGCATTTTTTCCTATATAACCAAAATACATCTTTGTCTTTATGGTAGCCTAGTGGTAGGGCATTCCCTTTATATAATCCTGAAGTTTAGCTTGATTTCTAGCCGGGCTCATTGCTACGAAGTTCAACAGGAAATGCTGCTTCATCACTGATGCTTAATCAAAGGATGATGTGCCATAACTGCTATCTGGGGCCCTTTTTCCACGACGAATTATATTTAATCTACAACAATGTTGGTAGTTTTCAAACATAAGTGAATAAATATGACGCCTTTCGAATAGTTTCAATAGTTCAGGCACATTTTAATTATAAGGAATACTGCATTATCTTTGATTTTTTAGACCCTATCACAGCTAAATTCGGCCAGGTTTGTGCGAATATTTTCTTTTAAGGCAAGAGAATGGGCGGGTCTCAGTACAATAGTGGGATATGCGTGTCTGAGAAGACCTTATATGGCTATTGTTATCATTTCGCACTTTTTCATTGACCAATCCGATGACAGAACAACAAAACATGCTGGTTTACTACGCTTACATTTTATCAGAGACACGTGGTTTAGGTTTATATTTACCTGTTATCTTTTTCTACATTCAAACTTTTATAATGGTCAGCCAATGCTACTTATACTTAATAATACGCATGGATTTTCAGCATTTACGGTTTTTAGGGCAAAAAATGCACATGAAAATTGTATTCACCGATACTCGGAAATACGTGTAGAACTAGCAAATTGCTCACCAAACACGCTACAAAACTTTAAACTAATGTATATCATGTATATTCTATCAAATGCTTGTAACTGTACATATAAATTTTATTGTGGTCTAGGAAATGGTACATATGTAGATCCGTGTCTAATCTGTGACTTAAATGCATAAAAAGATATCGAAAAGCAGTAAAATTCCAAGCATGTTGCCATAGTATTTTTGTGGTACTCACTCGTAACGAATTTCATATAGCTGATTGGTCAGTTAGAAAGTATCGCCCGTGCCTCGATTAGCATATGAATTCATTCTTACGTCAGAAAATCTACTTCCGTCGATCTGTTTATAATGGGAAAGGCCAACTTTATTTTACAATTTTTTTAAAAATAGCATGTGAGCGCAATTAGGTAAAATTTTCTCCTTTCACGTATAGGTAGATTTCAATAAAATACAGTGACCAGACAAAGGAGAAAATTGTACTTATCTGCGCTCGTATATTTTAAGGGCTTCAAAGAGTGGGGGGGGGGGGGGGGGGGGGGGGTTAAAATGCAATGGGAATTGAATGTAAACATGTTACCCCTACCCCAATAAAAGACCTATATCTATTAAATCACGTTTCTATTTTTGTTAAAAATAGTATTCTATACAGGTACACATATCAGTGATTAGTTACATACAAAAATTTGAGTAAAATTTAGACATTTAACTTTTTGTCAGTATACGAGGGGCCGCAAGTCACCTCATCCTTTACAAGTTAAAATATAGTACATTTGGGCAATCAAATTTGAGGCAAATTTGATTGCGAAATTTGAAATTTGAATCAAAACTTTTTAATACTATATGTATGCCATAGAGATTTTTTTGTGTATTACATATCCTCTCAATGTCTGAATTTGTTTTTAAACTCTCATCACGGTCTTTGTTCATTACCCTGTAAATGAGCCCAGCTTTCAGTACTTCTGAGTACTTTGATTATTCACTGTATCAAACCTAAGACAAAAACATGATGCAGTAATGTTACTTAACAATGCACCCAGCATTTGAGGTGAATGAGACCTTAAAAACCTCATAGTACATGTTAGGACAATGTCACTGAGTTCCAAATAAAGGTCTAAATAAAAAATATTCACCGGTATATATTAACTCCTCCAAATGAGTGAAGGAGTGAAAATTCTCAAAGAACATTACCAATCAAAGTACCAATAAGAAGCTGATTCTTACATCACAGGTTCCAATCCCATAGCTAAATGCTTCAGACGGGTTACTCCAATGAGACCGCATACACCGAGATTCAGTGTCAAAAGGATCCCTTACTTCTCAAAGGCAATACGTGCTGAGTACAAGTCTATATTTGCAGCTTACTATCCCAAGTGGTGGCATCATCAAATGACTGGAAAACGTTTGATAGGCCAATAATCAAACAAACCATTCCTGCAGTCATCTAAAAATAAGCAAACTTTCTATTATTACAATTGTTTTTACAAATTTCTTTTGAGATTTAACTGAGCAACAATTGTGCAAATTTTTGTCAATAAATTTTGATACTAAAGACTTTGTTTGAACAGCTATTTATAGCAATTACAGACAGCAGCACGAAGCGCTGCTCATAGTGCAAGCTCTAATGACAACGCCTTGGCGAAGAGAAAATTATCACTTGCTTATTGATCCACACAATTTCTTTTCCGCAGTAACTTTGGACCCACAGTGCTTTGATTCTTTAAGCTACATTCTTGCAAGAATTGATCAAAAGTTTCCAAAAAATAAATTCACCTTGATTTAATGGATAAATTGCAGATAAATAGTGGGGGAAAAAATTCTTCATTAAAGTCAGCACTATTCAAGATTTAGACTGGTAGTGTAGGCCTAACTTACACCACGACATCGTGTGACTTCAAAGTCTAGTGCCCTGTTCACACGGAGAGTTTAATTCGCAGTAAATGATTGCAAAGTAAACTAATGCGAATCAAACTAATGGGAATCAAACTGTGTTAACATGACAGCTAATGCAAATTAAACAAATGCGAATAAAAATTTTACTTCTACAGTGAAGTGTCAGTAAGGCTATCCGCTCAAAAATAGCACAATTAAGTACTTAAAGCTTACCACCAACATGTAGCATTTGAATTAATTTTGCCATTACACATGCCTCAAAATTTAATTCGAATAAGATTCCCTTTGTGTTCACATGGAGCTAATGCAAAGTAATTTAATTCGCAGTAAAGTAATTCGAATTAATAAAACTAATTTGAATTAAACTCCCCGTGTGAACAGAGCATAGATGCACCAAATATCAAGTGCGGTTTGACAAGCCCGATCTAAATTAAAACTGAATAAGTATCTGCCCTCACCCTAACAGTCACACCGTCAACATATTGTTACGGTGTATATTCAACAAATAATAAGTGTAGTGTGAATTACCCCTCCATGGTTACTGCGGTATTGCTCTTTTGCAGGGCAAAATAATAACGTTTGGCAAAGTTTTTGTTGAGAGATATTTAAATGACGTATATTTAACAATTACTTATATGTCATATTTCACCAAACTATATCATTTTGCCCTGCAAAAGAGCAGTACTGCAGTTACCGTGAAACGATCTATAAGAGTATCACTATGATGGATAGTGGAGTGTTGAATTTTTTGTTTTGAAAGTGAGTCTTGTTGATATTAAATACTCACATATATTTAAATAAAAAATAAAAAGCTCTTGGGATTTTAAAAGGCTAACAGAAAGCGTCTGAGCCTTAAAACAGATAATGTATCGGTTCTAAAAATATCAATGCTCTAAGCTGCCATAGTAATTTAAATTTTAGGTAAAATAAATTTCTAACCTTCATTCCGATAGTCCACGCCAATCAAACTTGAAAATGTCACCGTCGACTCTTTCATCACTCCATACATTTATAACTGGGAACCACGAACCAGAGTCAAGGGTGCTCAGCTTGTTAAAGTAACAGTCGGAATTTCCTCGTAAACAATTCACACAAAAATTTATAAATCGGATAATTCTGCTGAAAATAATGCTCCAGAGGATTGATAAAGTACTTCGTAGCTGCAGATTAAATGTGCGTGCATGTCTACATGCGGCCTGTGGCTTGTGTGGTAAGATTAATGCTCAACTTCACATGATTTCCAACTTTCAGTTTGTAAACATGTGTCCGACTTTTGGGACACACTAATAACCGGATATACGAAAGACCTGATATTTACCTGATGTTTTTATTTTAGATTAAATGAAAACATTGAGTACTTCAAATGACTCATTTAAATACTTTATGACTATGATGCATAATGCTATACAAAAATTCGTTTGTTTGGAATATTTACTGACGATTTTGAATCAGGTCAAATAAGGTTTTTAGTATATCAGGTCTTTAGTACCTTCCCATTTCCCACAATGCCGCGCGTTGTTTACAAACAAGAGGCCCCGAAAAGACTTCCTCTTAACTAATGCATAAATATTTTGATTTTACTTATTGCCATGTACATCATCACATTATATTAATTATTTGAATAAAAAGAAAACAGAGAAACACCGAATCAAAACAATATCTTTCATATGCATCAACGAAAACTATGCAAGAGGCCCAGTCAAGGCTTGGCTTATAGTAGACAACTTGTTCCTGTAACGTTTCTCACATATTTGTTTTATAAAAAAAACTATTAAATATAGCTTGAAGCTTATTTCTCTTTATATCAAACGACAAGATTTAATCAGTTCGAAACTATTTCAGTCAAACTTTTTCATAATATACCAATATTTTTAGCTATCAGAAAAAAACTTGTATGAGCTATTAACCCCTAATTATAGGGGCCAGCCCCTTTTCCTTGATCTTATATGAAAGCTCTCGTAATTATGCACAACTTTTGTTCTATATTTCTTACCAAATTATTCTCGGTTCAAAAGTTATTACACAAAAAGAAGCAAAATTTCATGGGAAAAAAATACTAAAAATTGCCGTCACATAGCTTCCGATCTTTAAGAAATCAGCTTATAATTTTATCGATATGCACATCTACAATGTATTGGCTAGAAGTTCTCAAACTTTCATGTGTAACAGGAAAGGAGAAAATGCATGGCTGGACCGGGAATCGAACCCGGGACCCCTGTATCTCTAGTCAGGTGCTCTACCTACTGAGCTATCCAGGCCGATATCCACGGCCCTAACCATTACATTCCTCCCTCCTTAAAGGTCTTTGGCCCTCCAAAGACCCCAACCCAGGCTCATCCCTGGCAGGTCTTTCACCTGTCAATTCCAGGGCATGGCACGGCACCAAATCTGTAACAGGAAAGGAGAAAATGCATGGCTGGACCGGGAATCGAACCCGGGACCCCTGTATCTCTAGTCAGGTGCTCTACCTACTGAGCTATCCAGGCCGATATCCACGGCCCTAACCATTACACATGTAATTATCATATGTCGTTTTTGAGTTTATTAGTGGACACGAGACATCAAAATTATCAATTAAAGGGCAATAACTCACAAAGTAAGGCATGTATCAAAAAATTGAAAGCAGATGTAAATAGGTGTTAATACAAGGTACCTAACCTGAAAGTTTCATAAAAATCAGTCGAAAAGCAAATAATAGTAAGAAACAGTAGAATAACAGTAGGGTCTTCCGAAGGAAGCTCGGAAGACCCTAAAAACAGTGGAAAAGAAACAAACGAATAACAAGAAGGTCTTCCGCTGAAGACGGAAGACCTTAATAATCTTAATCATCAGAATCAGTAGAAGGTCTTCCGTTGGAAACGGAAGACCTTAATTACAACAAATTGATGCTTTAAAGTACAGTGTATGATAAAAACTAATTTAATATTGTATAATATAATTAAAACTAATCCTTATGAAAAGATGTTTAATTAAGTAAAAACTTATTTTTCATCATATTCTTTAACAGCAATCTGTAACAAATGTTAATGTTTTGAGAGGAGGAATTCAGTTTGTCCCATGGGCATAATTATCAAGCACTGGTCAAGAAGAATTTTGATAGCAGAAATAGAGAGAAATTAATGAGTTTATTGTCAGGCGCTAAGTGGTAGAGCAGATCTCTGAAAATGCAGCTGTTATCTTTATCTTTAATCTCTTGGGAGTTGGGCAAAAAGAAATGGCCTCATAGTTGCTTGTGTTAATTAAGAGTTCTTGATGGCTATAGTCCAGATAAAGATCTTTCAATTGGTGTAATGTAATTAAAACAAATTGATGTTTAATGTATGATTAAAACTAAATTAGTATTGTATAATATAATGATAACTAATTATACATGTGTTCATTGAAATAAAATTACCGAGGTACATTTCAATTTTTATATATTTGCAACAAATTGCAGTCACTGTGCCTCACTTAGAATTTTATAGTCTAAAGAATAATTTATTTTTGATTTTCTTTATTAGACTGTAGCATTTCCATTATTCCATTAAATATGCAATAAACAATTTAAGCTGCAGATGGATATTTGTTAAGTTCTAACACAGCCAGTTTAGAATTATATGATGTATTATTTGTAATAATTAATTCCTACACTGTAAGTCTCTTAGAGATGTATGTACAATATTTTAAACATGATAAGAAATGGAAATTAGATCATTGAAATCTGTGTCAATCTGTTAATCAAGGTTATCTGATTTTCTTGCACCTTTACCAATTTATGATTATTGAACAATATATTTGACGGGCGTATCATGCTGTGGCGGGGCACTTTATTGAACTTCCCAGATAGCAAGCTGACGTCGGGCCGATGTTGGCATATGGTTGGTAGATCGGCTACATATCGCGGTTGGTAGAACGATATTGGGCCAACATCGGTCCGACATTGTCATTACAACAGTCGGTGTACTGACATTGTTCTAACATCGGCCCGACATTGTAATTACAACAGTTGGTGCATTGACATTGTACCAACATCGGCCCGACATTGTCATTACAACAGTTGGTGCATTGACATTGTTCCAACGTCAGGCCAACATCAGGCACGTAGCATCGTTTTTGAGAGGGGGGGGGGGGGCAACCACAGAATTTTTTTTTTTACTTTAATACCTGAAAAAGTTGACAAGCAGATTTTCCTTGATAGTACTATACTGTGGTAAAAAAGGAGGGGCATTTCAATGGACATTTTCTGTACTAAAGGTAATGTTGGGGGGAAAAGTGTGGGGGGGGGGATGTCAGCCCCCCCACTGTTGCTACGTGCCTGAACATTGTTATTTTTAATGTTGAAGTATGGACATTTTTGTAATATTGGCCCGACATTGTTGAACCACTGTTGCTATGGAAACTTATTTTGAAACGTTTAAAAAATTATCTATTTATTTTATTTTTTATTTATCTGATTAATATTTATTCATTTTTAATTATTTAACCCTTACGTAGATTTTCAAAACTATGGAATATAACTTAGATTTTTCTCTAGAATTGTCGACTAGTATTACAATTACATCGGGATCGAAGTCGGGCTCGATAAGCAATTAATTTAAACAACACACCGCGCCGAAATTTAAATTTTTGGGTGTTCCACGCAGCCATGCTGATGTTGTACAGAAGGAAAGTTCGGGGGAGAGTGTCGCGAAAAGTAGAATCATGACTAGCTTTGGGTGGAATTTCTGTTTTGACAGAAGATGAAGACATTTTACGACCCGTACTGCGGTAGGTACAATGTACAAAATACTATTTATGGCTAACATGTGTCCTTGAATGAATAATTGCTTCTGCTACTGTTCCTTAGTCAGGACACTACACATAAAATGCCTGACAGTGAAACCGTTTGAGCAAGCGTTATTTCAGTTTTGTTTAATAATTTAACACTTCTAAACATCTAATAAAGATGGATTTCAACCCGAACTTCCTCATTTGGGATCGATTCAGGAATTTTAGTGTTCCTCTCTTCAACATTTACAGAGTATGATGTAAAATGTAATAAAATGATATTTATTTTTAAATGCATGTTCAAGATCATTTTCAGCACTTATTTTGATTATTTTATAGTTGCATGCAGTGGACTGTGCCCGAGACGATTCCCACAGGGCCGGCAAATAGTCAGCTTGTATAAATGGTAAGAACCAGCTCAAATTTTCATTTAACACAAATAACCTAATATTGTTTTTATTAACTTGTATCTTTTAGAATAGAACTATAAAAATATTGCAGACTTCTATGTATTAAACATACAAGAGGTTTATATTCTTAATTTCCTTATCCTAAAGATACATAACAATGGATTCTGACAGGTAATCTAAACATGCTATAAATTAGGACAGCTTTGCATATTAATTATTTTATATCAAATACTTATGCACAAATTATTAAGAATAGCTATCATTTTGACATATTCTATGATGCACAATTATACATGCATTATTTACAGAAATCTGAATGCTCACAAGAAGGACAAATGCAGCATGGAAATTAACACAAAGTTATTCTAAGATTTTTTAAATTTTCTGATTAGATCTATAAAATCACATAAACTGAAATACGTGTAACTTATTCAATGTAAGTCAGGCATAGAGCTTTAGCTCTAGCCCTAACCTTTTCCTTTCAATAGCTCACTTGAACCATTTTAAGTTCAAAGTTGAACAAAGCGAGTTTTCTCATCAGTGTCTAGTATTCATATGTCATCTGTAAACTTCTCAAATTTTTACATTTATCGAAATCAATCCTAATTTGAACCAAAAGAAAGACACTGCAAGATAGTGAATTTCTATTCCTCAATACATGTATACTGAACTGTCAGGTTGAAGTAACCAATTGTCTTAACAGTCTTGTACTCTTGTAGAGCCTTACTTTATTATTTGTCATATATTTATATGTTGATAATATATAAATGCGATAGATAATCGATGATAATACATCCTGATGGTCATTTTTTCTTTCAGAAATTGTGCGAGAAAAGTAAGTGTCTACGGGA